TATATTAAAACGTGAATTAGTTTATGATATGGCTTGTTGTGGATTAACATCGATTGATCAAATTAATAAAGATATTCTTTATAAACATTAACAGAAATAAAAGTGAAAGATAGGCATTTGAATTGAGTTTTCTTTATTTTATTCTTTTATTCCTTTTATGATATTTCCACTTATTAAACGATTATTTGGGTGTGGATGCGAAGAAGAAAATACTCACGCCTAATTACACTCTCACATCCATCTCTTGTTGATTACTCTCTTCATCACCGTCTTGCCTAGAAAATATTTTTAAAAGAACCAAGTTAAAATTGAATCAAATACTATTTTTATTAAAGCATCAAGAAATAGCAAGTAGGATAATAGCCACATGTCTATCTAACATTAGAAAATATATTCAAATCAGAATAGAAATTGTGAACATGATCTGACTTCTAGAAAAAATTTCTAATAATTTTTTTTTATTGTATAATATGATAAAAGATGAAAAAACAAATCTAATATGGTTTTTATCATGAGAAATTGAATTATTTGTACTATTGATACTTGTTGTTGAATAATTTCAGCATATACTACTTTTACTTGTTTGATAAGAAACGACCTCGACTTAGGTTTATTGATAATGAAGGATGTCAAGTTCGCCAACCATTGTACTCATTGTTGATAAGCATTCGTCTATTTTATTTCAATTTATTTTTAAAAGATAAAGAAAATAGCCAAACAAATCTGTAAACTTGCTTGATCGAGGTCATTCGATTTTGCTCAATTTAATATGTGTTGTAGGAGTGGGAATTTCAAGAATTTTGATGTAAGCTGTTTGAAAAAAAAATTGTTCTTCCGTTCTTGAGATATTGAAATTTTTTGCAGGATACTATTCTGTAGTATTGAGAAAAAAATAAGCTTAAATGAATGCACTATTGATTCACAAAATCGATATGATAAAACTCTTTGAATAATTTCTAAGCGAGCTTAGGTAAATTTCCTATATAAAAGGGTTCATTGTTGAAGATTTTTCAATAAGTCTCCTAAAACCATTCTTTGAGATCGTACGTCAATTTTTTTTCATAACTCCGTAGTACTCAGTAGGTACTTTAAACCTACATGAGACTGACTTCTATAAATTTGATTTTGTTCTGGATTGGACTCTTTCAAGATCGCGATTTTAATCTAAACCAAGTTTTGGATGAAAGTCTTCTGAACGGTAGGAACTATCTAGAGAGCTGAATTTTTTAGAGAAATGAGAACTCATTATAGCCAAAATTTCAGCTTTCTGGTTTTATCCGTTCATGAAATATGCAAGTGTAAAAACTATTTAAAAAAATAACAATTGTGTCATGTACTTTGTAGTATTGATCAATTCATCATACAGTAAAAATCTCAAGTAAAAGACATGTATACTTGATGAGACATTGAAAATCACAAAAAATGCACGTTTTTTTTGGCGATGGTGACCTGAGAAAAATTTAAATATCTCGAGAACAGAAAAGTATTTTTTCAAATGCATTGCGTCAAAATTGTAAGAACTCTTGCCTCGACAACATATATAAAATTAAGCAAACTCTGACGACATCGATTGAGCAGAGCAGGTCTTGACTTATGCGGAATAGATCGTATATATTATTGACAAATAAACGTTAGGATATAATATGTCGAATAAAATAATAACGGAGAAAAAGATATATATGTTAAAGGAGAATAAAGAAAATTGTTTTTAGTGAATAGTAATGTAAAAAGAGAAAAGAAAGATAATAAAGAACATTTATTGGAATATATTATTGCTAAGACGGATTACTGTTCAGTGAAGATAAATTCTTATTCGAAACAGCGATTTATTTTGTTTTTTTTTGTCGAATTCCATTGAAAATTTGATAATTAAATAATTGATCATGGGCTTGTCCGTAGGTAACGCACACACGTTTTGTCAACTTTCGATCCGAGTTTTTTAGGAACAATAAAGCATAGAGCCTTGAAACTTTGAGGGTATATGTATGTTATGAAGCACTTTAACGTGTATAAGTTTCATGCTAATCCACTTTACAGTTTTGTTTTTATACCAAAAATACATGCTGGTAACGCACTCACAAAAAAGGCCCTCCTTTCTTTGGGTGTTGCTAGAATGTTTGAAATTTCTGCGAATACTTGAGTTGTAAATACAATAGCTACATTGTAATTTATAGAGGACAGTTAGGGTTCTCTATGTGAAAAATTAGTTTGAAAATTTGACAGAAAGTGTATTCGAAAAAAATGCTTGTAATTGAGCTTTTGATTTATCAATATCTTCTTGTGTTATTTCATCAATAATAATAGCCTTAGTTTTTGTTTTTGCAATATTAATAAAATCAGCTGCATTTTCACATTTATCTTTTTTGGTTAATATTTGTTGCCAAACAATTCTTTTAACACTGCCACCAATGCCATCAACCACGCCTTTGGCGTGGCTGGTAGCAAAAAAATGTCATGAAAGAATCAATTGATATTCATATGACATTCGTGTCAAATTACGCATCAAGTATCGTTGTTTAAATTGGCTGGCGGCGCCGTCACTAAAGAATAGAATTTCTTCTAATGATGGTAATTGTTGTTTCAATTTGTTAATGATGTAAGGAATACAATTGTAAACACCATATTTATCATGACTGATATTATTTGATACTAATGCAAAGGAATAATTCTTCGTACCATACCAAGCATGAGCTGTAAAGATAGAGACCGACTTGGAACTCCAATGAGCAGATTGAACTTCATCTTGCTGTTTTATTTCAAAATTTTCACTATAATCAACTTGAATAACAATTTTTTTATTATCGGTATTGGTCTTTGATTCTTCGAAAAATTTACTTTGTTGACGTTTAATGTAAACATGTAATAGAAATGTCTTCACTTTAGAAGATAATAATTCAATACCTTGTTCAACTGATCCTTGTTGCTCTTCTTTTGTGGCATAACCATTAATATGCTTCCATTGGTACCATTTTATTTGAACATGTCTATCAATAATATTATTTTTAATATTTAAATCGAAATAATTTTCACAAGTAAAATAATTAGATGGCATACAATCATAATTTGACTCATCACAAACAAGAGCCGATGTAAATGAATATAAATTTGAACAAAATGATCCATTGACATGTTTAGATAAACTATTTAAAAGTAAATTCACGTTTTCATGATATATGCAAATGCATACACGATGCGCCATAGACGACTTCACTGAAATATGTTTAGGACGTATTTCAGCAAAAGCCGTTCGATTCACAGAAATACCTTAAATAAAATTGAAGGATTAATAATCTATAGAAAAGCAACTTACCTGGATTCTCAGCAAGAAAAGTTCGTATGCTTCTCGAATAGTATAAAGAAGAATTTTTTTTTGATATGTTGTTTTATTTCCATTATCATTGACGACAATAGTATCATGCTTTCCAGGCATTTGGTACGAAATATCGTCTCGACCATAAAATAAAATTATACTATTTTTTATTTTTGATGATAACCTTCGAGTAGTACGTTGATGATTATTTCGAGGCACAATACCAACTGCTTGAGCTAGAGCTCGAACGATAACTTTTTTTTTATTGAAATCTTTCGGAAGAGCACATTTTGCTTTTTTTAACGCCTTTCTGAAAGACTGTTTGACAAGAAAGAATTTCTAAAGATGAGGAAAATTTTTCTGAAGCATTATCAAACAGTATAGTACATGCTTGGACTTTTTGTTTTTATTACGATAAGCTCTTTGTGATTCTGTATGTTTTTTATCATAATCTTGTTTCCTTGTACCTGTTAGATTTTGACGATATATTCTCATTCGTACAGTATGTCTGGCTTTCATTATTTGATATAAGCCTTTGGCTTTCAAATTTTCACGATAGGGCTTTTGCTTTTGTGCATTTGTAAAAGTCATTATATTTTTATGAACACAATAAATGTTTAAGACCAGTTTATGGTATCAAAAGATGACTTAATTTATTATAATGTCTGAAATGAGATATACAGGAAAAATATATTTCGTGAGTGCTTTACTATTTTTTTTTTCAACGGACAGAGATAAATCGCAACTTATATAGCCCCTAGGTAACCGATGAAAAGTTAACAAAGGTTTGTACGTTAGGGTCAAATTGATCAAGCAGTTATGGTGAAAAACTAACTATAGATTCTGTTTGGTAACGCACTCACCCAAGAATTTATCAGGTTTTTGAGAGTTTTCTATTTTTTTTCGTAAAAGACATAAGAGCTATTATTGATATCAACGAACAGCCCGAATTTCGTAGATTCGAAACATATGTCAAACTTCAGTTGACAACTACTTTTTTAACCTTTTTTTTCTTTCTTTCTGTAACGACATAAAGATGACATACATTTAAACCAAGATGGCGCCAACTTATGGCGAATAATTTTTCTTCTTTTAAAGAAATAACAGAATTCAAACCATATATTCTAAGACAAAAAAATGTGCTCTACAAAATAGCATAACTTATTTTTTTAAAAGTTCAACTTCTACTTTAATCACTTCGGTTGACCGTTAGCCGGACAAGCCCAAAACACATATTATCGCTTCGAAAAGTCTACTTGACTCTTTCAGTTTTTATACCCTGACTCATACCCATCATTCCATTCATAACATATTTATTATGCTTTGTAAGTGATTTTTGTCTTAAATTGTTTACAAGGAAAATTTACTATACATCATAGTATATTTTATAATTCAGGTTTATTGAGATAATAATCTGAAACGTTTCTTTTTTCGGACGTGCAACAATGGTTAGAAAGAGTTATATTTTCCATCTTCATTTTTCATTTTGATGTTTTTCTAGGAAGATCAGTTAAAGTCGATATCAAATTATCAAAATATTTTGTATAAGTCAAATTTTCATTGCAAATATATGTCGTAGGATAATCCGCGGTGGACCTACGACACATATCATCTTCAGATTTGCACACTAAACTGTTTTAAAAATTTTCTAAAGGAGAAAAATGATACGTAATAAGGTATTTCAAAATATCAAACACCAAATAATTACAAGTAACATTCATCGAACAGCAACTCATTTTGCCCTAGACTGACAAGACCAGAAACGGAAATTCACTTGTGTGCATCTGTCTGTAAAACAGTTACCATACGGTAACTATGGTCCCAATGAACATGTAGTGAAGTGATCAAAACGACAATCTGGTAACTATGGCACAACGAAACATCTAGTAACTATGGTTCAAACGATGTCAGAGAAGATTATCAAGATCATCTGGTAAGTACGATTCAAATTAACCGAACAGTACGTGAGCTGCATAAAAATGTAATTGACGAGCATTATTATATATTAAGTCTATTGATTTATCGTTTAATGTTGTTTAAAATGGGCATGTGATATATTGATACATTACAATTGTTGTTAAGGAAATCTGAACAAATAACTATGATAAACAGACATAAACAAAAATTATGTTTTTTTTTAAATAATGTGAAAAAAAGCTTGTCCACTAGAGCCCGTCGGGTCCAAGAATTTCTGGATCTGAATCCGGTCGATTAAATTTTTTTTAAGACCTAGACCTGGATCCGACGGGCTCTATTGTCAGTGCAGCCCCCTTTGGAGCTAAAATGTGGAACTCACATATTCATATAAACATGTCTATCACGGTCTGTGACTACTAGTTGCTAAGGATGTCTGTCATGTCTGTGACGGCGAGAAAGCGTTGCGAAGGTGTTTATCACGTCTGTGACGCGTCGTTGCTAAGAATGTCTGTCACGTCTGTAATAGGCCGTTTCTAACATGTCTCTCACGTCTGTGACGACTCGTTGCTAAGGACGTCTGTAGGGTGTAGGGACGAAGAGCCCTCAAAACTTCGACTTAAAACTTACCAAGGGGGAAACAGCGGACTTCAAAAGACTTCAGCCATAGTGACTTCATATTTTCACAAGACTTCAAAAGACTTCCTAAGTCTTCATAGGGCTTCACAAGGCTTCATAGGATTTCATGAGACTTCAGAGGACTTCAAAAGACTTCGTGAAACTTCACGAGCTTCATGAGACTTCACGGATTTTGTGGGACTTCGCAGACTTTGTAGGACTTCGGGAGACTTTATAAGACTTCATAAGACTTCACAAGACTTCATAAAACTTCGCCAGACTTCACAAAACTTCATAAGACTTCACAAGGCTTCAAGAGGCAAATTCTATGAGTATCAAAAAATCTTATAGAAATTACATGAAAGTCCTATAACATGCAAAAAACAAAACTTATCATATAGAGATTACGAAAGTGTTTCTTGTTTCTGAGAATTGTTTCTCGCAGTATATCCATATCTAGAATAAAGATGTGGCAATGACACAAAGCGTTAATGAAATTAAAACTAAGACAATAAACTTTACTGGTACGCGTATAGTTGATTCGATTAATCCAGCATTGAAAAAACTCTTATTTTCAGGTGCAAATAAATAACAAGACTAAATCTATACACAAGCAAACGGCTGGTTGCTTATTGACCGACAAAGCTAGCCGCTTATCGGCTGATAGATTATCACGAGTGATAGAAACAAACAAAAAGGAATAAAATTCTTCATAAGACTGACATTCAATAGATGGAACATTTCTTATAAAAATAAATCACTTCATTCAAAAAACATTCAGTTATTAACTATCATGTTTTCTAAGACCCAACAAACTTGAGTTTTTTTT